GCCCGGGGGCGGGTCATGTCGGGAGGGGATGTGGCGGACACCGGCACAGGGCTGGTGGAGCCAAAGGCTGATGCCCTGGCCCGGGAGTGCTCGCCCAGCTGGGGCCAGCTCGGGAAAGGGGAAACGCCTTCGCTGGGGAGAAAAACAGAGGAAACCACAGAGGAGACCCCGGTGCCCCAAGCATCCTACCAGTTCGACCCCGAGCAGTACGATGAGCGTGTGAACCCCTTTGTGGCAGGGGGCTGCCGGCTGCAGAGCTCCCCCCCGTCAGCCCCGCGCCGCCTTCCCCATCCCGACGGCATCCCTGCTGAGCTGGGGGGGGACCCATCCCTGGAGCCCAAAGGGCAGGTCCCGAAACCCGAGGTCGATTTTACAGAGGGGGGAGAGAGCACGGAGGCCAGGAGAGCTACACCCAGGAAGGGCAGCAGGATCCCGGCCAGCAAGCTGACACCGAAGAGGCACCGAGAGTCCCCCAAGAAACCAGCTGAGGATGTGGAGAGGGGTGCTGCGGAGCCACCGCCTTCCCGGGGCTCCCCCCGGCTGGGTCCCGCGCTCTGGGACAGCCCGGGTCTCAACCCCTTCGGTGGCAGCTCAGCCCTGCAAAACTCGCCGACTCTCCCCAAGGGCTCTTACCAGTTTGACCCCAACAACTTTGACTCCATGGATCCGTTTAAGCCCACCAAGACCCTCGCCAGCACTGCCGCTGACTCCTGCCCCACTGCCGATAACAGCCTCAATGAAATCCTGGAGTCTCAGACGCTGGAGGTGCAGGAAGATCTCGTGAAAGGCAGAGACTCCCCGAAGAAGCCCAAGTCGCGCCTGATAACGTGAGTGTCAGTGCAGGCAGAGCGGGCGGCCGGCAGCCCCCTCCGTTCCCCCGTGTGCGGGCAGAGCAGCAGCGGTGGTGGTGGTGGTGGTGATGGTGATGGTGCTCCTGCCCCTGTGCCTGCTGAGCAAGCCCAAAATACCAACATGCGCCTCGGGTTCTCCTGCCACCCCAGTTTTACCCGCCCCTCATCCTGGAGGGGCAGCTCCCCTCTCCCTGCCGGCACCCTGGTCGCTCAGGAGCGGATGGGAGGAGAGGGTTGAGTGTCCCGGAGCGGTGCCGGTGTCCCGGGTCCCAGACAGAGCGGGGAGGGCTGGATCGGAACCTGCTTTGCAGGATCACCTCTTTGGAAAACCCCTTGGGGCTCCAGCTCATGGGGTCGTGGAGTCAGAGCAACCCTGTAAAGGGGGCTTGAGCCTGCCAGGCACACAGGAGGGTTTGTAGGTCTTCGGGAGCTTGTGGGTGCAGATCTGGTTAATCAGATGCTGCTGGGACACTTTGTGAGCTGCTGCTGAACTTCTCCTTTTGTAAGAGGGGAAGAGAGTAGAGGTTGAGCAGGCAGGTTGTTTGCTGCCTTTGTCACATCCGCACAGGCGGCGGGGAGCTTGTTGTCCCTTGCTGAACTATTTCAGTGCATTTTTAGTTCCTGAACAGTGCTATTTAGAACCCCCATGTAGATGGTGACATTTCACAGTGCCTCCTGGGAGTGCAGACAGCATTGCTGTCCTCCTCTGGGGACTGGTTTAATGGCTAAGCATTGCTATTTTCTTGGTCGTTCACCTGTTGTGTCACAAATGTCCCCCAGCCCGTGTCTGGGCAGTGCTGGAGTCTCAGCCTGATGTTTAAGACGGCAGCTGCTGAGCCAGGCTTGGCTCTACCTGCCCTCCCTCTCTGCATGGGCAGGGGAAGCAGAGGGGCTACTGCACGAGGGAATAATCGCCCAGCCAAGTTTGGGTCCTTCCACTGTAATTTGTGATTGCGCTTAACACCAGTGATTGGAACCAGTGGGAAGCAAAAGCAAGAAGCTTAAAAGGGGACGTTGTAGAAGTGCAGAGTTTGTGGCTGATTTGGCACTAAAACCGAAACGAGCTGTCACTCTGCTACCGGAGGGAAACCAGAGAGTGGGTTTTTACAGAGAGAGCAGGTAAAACCTAGCAGGCAAAACTAAGGGTGTGTTGGATGCTTTTCTCTTAAAATACTTTGCAG